GAATTATTCTAAAATTATTTTATATTTTATTCTAAACATTAAAGAGAATATAAATTAGGAAAGTAAAATATTAGGATTTAAGACATTCAATTCATTTAAAATGGTGTTTTGCATAGAGTTCAGCGGGATCGGGATCGGGCGAGATTATCCGGGTTTTTCAAATCCCGATTTTTCTGACCCGCTCCCGAAATATATATCCTGATCCCGATCCCGGCCAATTTCAATCCCGAGCCGGGATCCGGCTCGGGATCACCATTCTAAATCCCGATCCCGGGTTTTCTCTAAATCCCGATACCGCTGAACTCTAGTTTTGCACAGTTATTTGGCGACAGAACCGTAATTAGTTTTCGTATTAATATTCTGTTGTCTTAAATCTCGTGGGATATATTTCTAAGATAGCTTTATTATATAAATTTATTAAAGGAAAAAATGTGCTATTTATCCTTATTTTATTTAATTATTTTTATTAAAATAATAAATACACAAGAATTATTTACATCATCTGCAGAATTACAACAAATTATTCATATAGAAAAAGAAATTCCAACAATTATACAAAATTATATTTCATTAGAAAATAAACGTTTGGAAGAATTAAAAATGTATTTAATAAGATTCAATAAAATTTATAGTAAAATTAATCGGAATATCCTAAGTGAATATCCACTGAATATCCTAAGTTTATTTGATCTTTAATTGAGGATATACTATCAGATTCACTTGTATACACACAGCTACTTTTGAAACCAGTTCCCTTTACTGTTCAAAAGCCACTCATCCTTAAGAGTGGCTTTAAGAGTGACATCATTAAGAGTGATTTTATGTAGCTATCTGGTTATATACAGAGTCCGACTGAATTTCTAAAAGTAGATTAGAAATGAAGAATAGGCTTACCATATGGGAAAAGTTATTTTTAGGCAAAATGCCTAAAATTTGCTTCAAAGCAAATTATATATTAATTAATTAGTTGTTATTTAACAAAATTATTCTAGTATTGCTAATAAATATGAAAAAGAAGACAGCGAATTATTTCAATTAGAACCAAAAAGTGTTTTGAATCCGTTAAATGCTTTAAGAGTAATTAAAAAGTTATCAATGAAATGGGAGGAAATTAAAAAATTAATTAAATCAGATATGGCTGAAAATTATCTAAAAAATATTTCGATGCAAAGGAAGACTCGATTTCCTACTAAGGTAATTTTTAAAGTAGTAAATACTGAAGTTTGCGGATTAGTGTAAAGGGTGACATAAAGGTAACTACACTCGTTATTTATGAAAATTTCATTTATGGCACCCTGCATAAAAATTTTATTTTTTGTAGTTTAATAAAATTTCAAATTAAATAGGATGATTTAGATGGTGCAATTCAAGGACTATTCCGGTTACAAGATATTTATAAATTAAAAACAAAAGATTTAGCTAATGGAATTATTGAAGATATTAGTATAAAAAATCAAATGAATTGTGAGTTACAAATTTAGTAAACAGATTTTTCTTTTACCTTAATTTTCCAGAAATTTCCATATTTCCAAGAAAATTTCCATATTTCTTAGCTTTAAAAATATTTTAGAGGATGTAAGGTAAAAATTAGTGTTCGGCACGGTACGGTATACCGCGGTATTTTTCCCGGTATACCGCGGTATTTTTTTCCGGTATACCGATACCGATACCGTACCGGTCAAATTTTGAAAAAAACGGTATTTTTCGGTTCGGTATTTTTTCGGTATACCGATACCGATACCGTACCGGTCCTCGAAAAAATACCGCGGTATTTTCCGGTATTTCGGTATTTGTGAAATTCTCAAAATTTTCGCCTGCGGCGCTGAAAAAGGAAGAAATCGGTCTTCTTGTCTTCCAAAATTCTCAAAATTTTCGCCTGCGGCGCTGAAAAAGGATATATGTATAGGGACATTCTATTAGAGGGGGCATTGTATTTTTCAATTATCCTGTTGGGGCATTCTATTAAAGGAGGATATTCTAATGGTGGGGGCATAGTAATTTTCAATCATCCTACAGGGGACATACTATTAAAGCAGGGTATTCTAATGGAGGGGGCATTGTATTTTTCAATTAGCTAAATGTCGAGCAATTGTTGGACATTTTGCTGATTCAAATCTTGCCTATGATCGATTAGAAGAAGCTCAAGTCCTTGAGATTGTTAAGATTTATTGTTAAAATTTTAAGAATAAAATTTGAAAAATTTTATAAAATTTTTTAAAAAATACCGAATACCGGCCGGTATACCGAAAATGTTGAGACGGTATTTTCCGGTATCGGTATTTTTCCGGTATACCGATACCGATACCGTACCGGTCAATTTTTGTAAAAAACGGTATTTTTCGGTATCGGTATTTTTTCGGTATACCGATACCGAATACCGGAAAAGGTCATTTGCCGAACACTAGTAAAAATAAGCCAAATAACCAATAGTAAGGAGCGTACCACATCAGTCCCTGGGCGTTTCAGTCCCCAGTCTGTAACTCGAGAATTTTGAAATAATTTATTGAACTTTTAGTACCTTTACATAGAGGATTAAATTCTCTACAAAATGATACCAAATATAAAATAATTTTATCAACTGATAATGAAGTTATTATCAAAAAACGGCCATTTTTTAAAAAAGTCATTTTTTATGTTTTTTAATCATAACTTTGGTAACTGTAGATCAAATTTTTCGATCAATAGCTTATTTTGTAGCTTAATTAATCCTCTATCCAACTATACCAAGAGTTCCAAAAACTACAACTTTCTCGAGTTATAGAGCTCGGGACTGAAACATTCAGGGACTGGTTTTCTTACCGCCAATAGTATATTTAAAAATTGGTTGCCTAGATAAACTATCTATTTTAATAAAATTTTTTTATTTTAGCAAAGGATTGTTATGATATAGGCCTTGCAGCATACATGAATAAGGTAAATAAAAATATGTATAAAAATATTTAATTAAAAGGATTATTATCACTCAATATTATGGATGCAAGAGGCATATCAACGTAAATTAAATGAAAAATCAAATAGAAATTATGGGAGTAATCTACCAGATATTTTAAATATTTTGTCAATTTCTTTGTATAAGCAAGGAAATTTAAAACGAGCATTACTAATTAATGATAAATTAATTGAAATTGGTTAATCAATTACAGATATGTAAATTAAGAAATTTTTATTAAGATCCATTATATCCAAGTGCTTTAAATAATTCAAAATTATACGAAAAAGAATTATTTGAAAATGGAGTCTCCGAGGAAGATTTTCGTAAAAATATACCTCTCTTAAACAATACAAGAATTGCGAATACTCCTTACCTGAATGCAAGTTATCGAATAAGTTATGAAAAGCTTTGTCGTGGTGAATTAGAACAAGTGCTTTAATTTAAAAATATTTTTATTATTGAATAATTGGGGCTGTATTACGGATGGTTCTAAAGGGTTCATACAGTTAAATAGGTTCGAGCTATCGCGCTAACTAAAGTCCGAACTACTTTCGGCATGGGGACTGGACTTCAGCAAAATTTATTGTCTGCTTATAAGACTAAAGAGTTCAAGAGCTGTTGCTCATCCAATTTACTCGGTCTTAACAAGTCTCAAATAAAACAAACGTACTACTGGATTTGAATTTATGGATTACTACTTATGGTCTATTTTAGAGGCAAGGGTCTGAGCTTAAAAATCAAAAAGTTTGAAGTCGCTTTTGCAAGCACCCGTTCAGGAATGTGAAAAAATACACATGAAGAGATGCGGAAATGTTGCCCAAAATTTTTCCTTACAACCTAAACTGTCAGGGGACTCATAAACCTTTATTATAAACTTTTATTGCCAAATTATTTATAAAAATTTCTAACAATGGAAAAAATATTTTAAATATATATACAAGTAGGTGAATATAACTAATCTTTCTTAATGAGCCATGTGAGTAAATCAGGGAATAAATAATTGAAAAAGAGACTGAATAAAGCCCCGTTTATTTTGTAAATTTAATTAAAAATTTCAATTTTAGAATATAACAGAAATATCAAAACTTTATTGTTATTACAAAATGGATCGTCCTTTTATTCGTTTGGCTCCAATTAAAGTCGAAATTATTCATTTCGAGCCATTAGTTGTTATATTTCGTAATGTTATGTCCGATGAAGAAATTAAAACATTAATAAACATTTCATTACCAAGTTTGCATAGATCTGTGGTTCAAAACTCTTCGACTGGTGGACAAATGATAGCCAGCTATCGGATAAGCAAAAAGTTTTTAAATAATTAAAAAATTTTGTATAATAATATATTAAGCGCCTGGATCACCCAGAAATCTCATCCAATTATTAAACAAATAGCTAAGCGTTTGTCGTTAATGACAAATTTAAATATGAAGGCCGGTGAAGCTTTACAGGCAAAAAATGTTTTTTAGTTATTAATGTTATTTGTAATTTATAGATTGGAAATTATGGAATTGCTGGACAATATGAACCGCATTATGATTTTTCTAGGGTTATTTCATTCAATTTTATTTGAAAAAGTAATGGCTTCGTGGAAAAAAGGAATAGCTCGTTTAATTCCAAAATTCTCAAAAATTTTCAAGACTGTGCAGAAAAGTCTTAATCCACCCAAATCCCATGATAATTCACCCAACTCGATATCCCTCCCTCGAAATAATATTCCATTGATTTTCAACCCAAAACCTGGAAAAAAACATGGAGATTTTAACATAGGGATTTATGTTTCACCAAATTCTTCGGTTAACAAAACCGTACCGACAAACAAACGAAATTCTTCGCTTTTTCGGTTCAGTTCGAGTGTTAACAGACAACCCTAGTTTTGATTTTTTTGCTAAACCAACTTGTTATTTAACTTATTAATATTTTGAATTCATATATTAGACAAAAATGAGATGATCTTGAATTTAAAACTTGTGTTCTCCCTTTCACTCTAATGATTAAATTATTAGACGATAATAATTTTTAAACTATAATAATTTTTTTAAAGAATAACGAATCTTCAAAGAATCATAGTATGGGAATTGGTAATAGAATCGCAACTGTTCTATTTTATTTAACTACACCAGAAAAGGGTGGCTATACAATTTTTAATAAAATAAATACAATTGCTAAACCATCTAAACGTGATGCTCTTTTTTGGTATAATTTGTTAAGAAATGGAGACGGAGATTTAAGAACAATGTTTTTGCATTTTTATAAAAATTAAATGATAATTTAATTAGGCATGCAGCTTGCCCAGTTTTAATTGGAGATAAATGGGTTGTAAATTCTTGGATACGTGAAAGAGGACAAGAGAATTTTCGTCCATGTTCATTAAAATCACCAACGATGGAACGTTATGTTGGAGATTTAGGAGGTTATTATGAAAATATTATGAAAAAATATCAACATAATTTAAAAAATCATTAGTTTGAAATAAAATGTGGCAAAATACATTTACGTATATACAGAGGACCAGAGGTGGTCGGAATTCCAATTTACTACGTTTTTTTCCTTCCGATTTCCGATTTGCGAAATTTTGGAAAAATTTCCGAGTTCCACTTTTGACCCATTTCCGATTTCCGACAGTTCCGATTTCCGGCACCTCTGATTGTTCCGACCCACCTCTGCAGAGGACCCAAAAAATTTTAGGACGCTATTTAAATTAAAGTTAATGAGATCAATAAAGCTTATATGATAGAGAACCAAATAAGAACAAATAAAATCAAGAATTTTAGAAGTACCTACACTTTGCGCGGTCACAGTTAAAGGCGGATGAAAATTTATCAAAAGTTCGCACCATCTCGAGAGAGATTAGGGGGTGGTTCATGAACAAAGTACCCTTAAACATAAGCATATATTTTGAACTATAATAGTTATAAAAGATTTCTTGCTTAATTCTGTATGCAAATATTTTAAGTATTCAAGTATTTTTTATACATATTTATTTAACGTTTTTAATGTTTTACATTTTAAAATTTTATTTTGATGCTCATTCAGAATGTCTTTTCTTATTTAGCAAAATTTTCATTTTATATTCTCATTATTTCTTGTTGGAAGTTTTTGTTTAACAATAATAACATTTGTGCTGACATTAGTGGCTGTATTATTTTTAATAAATTGACTTTTGACTACTAGACGAAAATCTTCAGAAATAATAACCAAACAAATTTCTTCAATACATTGAAGGATAGTTAAGCTTGTATTGAATAAAACGGATACAATAATTGAAGTAGTTGTGTCTTGTACATTTGCATCAATAATCACGTTTAATTTGTACATACATATATACCATGGGCAAGGAATTAGGCTTACCAAACAAACAGCTAATATTTTAATTCGTTCTTTTTTAGTATTGTCCTCTAAACTTTGCATCTTTCCAGTCTCTAGAATTATTTTTAGGGGCTTTTAAAAATTTTCTAACAAATGTTACGGGAATTGGAAATGCTGGCCCTACTATAAGATAACCATATGACAAGTTAATAGTATCTTATAATTATGTATATAATGTTTAAGTATCGTTTAGTCAGCTGCCTAACTAATTAGCCTGAATTTATCCTGAACTTATTAGTATCATAGTTAGGTCAACTGTATTAAAAGTCGTATTTATCAAATGATATTCTTATAACATACTGTAATCATAGATAAATTTTGACAGCACAGCAATATATATGGGAGCTGATAAACATAAAGAAGTCAATAATGGTAAATCACCAATCATGAATACTCCATAAATGAATATACTTTATAGAATTAAATAAATTTTATAATATATCTTATATTATTTTTAACCTCAAAAAATTATTTTGGGGAATTTGAAAAGTATATCCAAGATATATTACCGCACTCCAAAGAAGTATTATAAGCCATAAAACAGAAATAATGAATTTAATATTTCTAAAATTTAAAAAAGTTTTTAGTGATATTTTTTCATTTCCAACAAAATACTGAAATTACATACCTTTTTTTCCAAATTTTTTGATAACTAAAAGGGAGGAAGACTGCATGGAAGCGATTTAGTGCCAATCCAGTCACATGCACATAGATTGATGTAGTTAAAACAGACGATAATGGTGATATAAAAAAGTGGCTCCAAAATGATGCCATAAATTGAGGATAATATTGATATATACTAATATAGATTTGAAGGAATTGATATGTTATATTTGCACATGACTGGAAATTTTTATGTATAATTTACTTAAAGGAAAAAGGTGTTCAATTGGCTCCCATACAAAATACCGAATTCTTAAAATATGGAATATCAAAATCGCGAATCGGCTAAAAAAAGCTCAAAATATGGAATCTTAAAATATCGAATCTCAAAATATGGAATAGGCAAAAAAAGCTCAAAATATCGAAAAATATCGACAATGCGGCAAAGGCCAGTTGAGTCTGAACAAAGTTGTGACCAACTTCTTCGTAAAAAAATTTTAAAAATAAGAGAAAGTATTTTTCTAAGGTAAAAAAATGTGCTGATTACGAATCTCAGCTCGGATTTTGAAAAAGTCGAATCCCGGACCCGAACCGAATTTCGAATCCCGAACCGAATTTCGAGTTTTCGAATGATAGCTCATCTGAAAGAGCACGTCGAGCTGCATCGAATGATACCAAAATCAATGAAATCCGACCTGATTGGACTGAGTTACAGATCCCTGAATAATCAGAAAAAGACCTGCAGCGGCACTCAAACGGCCCTTTTCGTTTTTAAAAAATTCGACATTTTTAACTACTTTTTAGCCGATTCGGTATTTTGAGCTTTTTTGGCCGATTCGCGATTTTGAGATTCGATATTTTAAGATTCCATATTTTGAGCTTTTTTGGCCGATTCCATATTTTGAGATATTTTTACCGATTCGCGATTTTGAGCTTTTTTAGCCTATTCGCGATTTTGAGAATTCGGTATTTTGTGCGGGCACGGTTCAATTAAAGTGATAAGCTAAATCCTAAACTTAACTTATAGGCTTAAAACTTAAAGTACTTTACAATAGATCAGGATTGTGCGTTTGTAACATAACTATTGGGTAACCGGGCTGAGCGTCATGGCGACTGGCGCTTTGCGTTTGGCACCTTTTCCCTATTTTGGCGCCAAACGCCGAAAATTAGCCCTGGCATAAACTTTATGATGGTGTGCATTTTATGATGGTGTGCATATACTATGATATGCATTTAGCCTCCGGCATAACTTTTTTATATCTTGTCGCTGGCAGAGTAGGCGGCGTTTTACATCTTGGCTTATTGGAAATCGCCAATAGGCAATGACAGGGTTGGCAGGAGATAAATCTCTCTACATACCTCCAACATTAGTCAAGCTTATAAAATGCATAGTCCCTAATCATTCGATAAAAAAGGATGGAGTATGTAATAACATTAAATTTTTGGGATTATTTATTCATAAAAAAATTATCCATTATAATTGAAAAACATAATTATGTAACCATGATCGTTATAAAATTTACCTTGCTAAATAAAATAAAAAGAGCAGTTCTTTCCTTTGAAAATTTGTGTAAAGGGCGTACCAAAATTAAAAGTATAAAAACACAAATTGTACAGAAGAATATAGAAAATACATTCAAATAATTTTTTCTTATATCACGATTTATTGTCATTTGTATACTTTATCAGAGGTTAGTATCTTAAAAATTTTATCACGAATATGAAATTTTAGTTGAAAAATATTTTCTATTCATCTAATAATAATTCTAGTTACCACCCAGTTTGTTAAGAGGGTGAATTTTGAAATTTAAACTAAAAATTAAAATAAATAAAATTAATTGTACTATTCCATGCTTAATAATTAACACGAATGGAATAAATCTTTTCTTTAAAATTTTTTTATTAATAATAATATAATAGTTGGACTTTGTCTTCACCTGCAATTTTTGAATATATAATTTTAATTTTTTATAATAAATAAAATATTTTAATTAAATTGCTGGCTTGAAATTAATTCTTTTAATTATTTAATGGGAAAGTACATATTTAAATGGTAAAGTACATATGCAAATATAAAGTACAAGTTTTAATTTTTTTTTAAACATCTGTCTTTTCTTTTCAGAAAAAGAAGAAAAAAATATTATGCAAAGAAAATTAAATAAAATTTTTTAAATAAAATTTATTTAAATTAACATAACAAATGTTTAAAAAAAAGAGAATAAATTTACATGAGAAAAAATTTTAAAATTATTCAAAAGCAGGGTTTCGATCTCGAATTTTTAAAAATCCGCAAGATTGATCGAAAAATCCGCATTTTATATCAAATATCCGCAAAAAATTATCAAACACAAAAATTGAATTAAAATCACTTTATGCATTGTATTTTTCGTCTTCTACAATTGAATTAAGCAATTTTTTATTACTAATGATCATCTTATGAAAATCCAACAACTATCTGAAAAATTACACTTGCATTTTTGTCGTGGAAGATGTCGCAAATTTTTATTTCTTCCATTTTCAGCGGCGCAGGCGAAAATTTTTTTATTTTGGAAGATCCTTAAGCCAAAAATCGTTCATTTTCAGGCCTGGTAAAAAATTTTGAGGATTTTGGAAGATCAAGGACACAGATTCTTTCCTTTTTTGCGCCGCAGCGAAAATTTTGAGGATTTTAGAAGGTCTTAGCGGAAAAATAATGACATTTTTGCTAAAAACCACAAGAAAATATAAAAAATCCTCATAATCTTCAAAAGACCACAAAAATCCGCAAATCCGCATTTTAAAAAATAATCCTCATCGCTCTATCAAAAAACCACAAAATGAGGAAAAATCCGTAGATATCGAAACCCTGTTCAAAAGAGAAATTGACATACAGTGACATACACCCTGTTTTACGTTGATTTTTAGGGTATCGAGATCTCGATTTGAAATTTGATAGAGCCCTAATTCTTTTTTTATTTTTTATACAATCGACAGACATATTCACGGTATTTTTTGTAGAATTTTACAATAGGTGGAAACTAGACTTTTACAGGGGTTCTCAAAGTGAACTAATATTTAAGTAACACTAGTTTTATTAAAAATTTGAAATAAAATTTTTTTTCGAAATTGCTTTGACATTTTGATAATTTTTTCTCAAATTATAATCGAATTAGCTATATTTTCTCGAAATTTGAAATAAATCCGACTATTCAAAATGGAGTTAGGTAAAAAATTAGGGGTGAACGTATGTTTATGTAACGCACTGAATTGAAGTGAGTTTTGCGTAAAATTAAAAAAAAAAAGAATTAAATTTGAATTAAAAAATTAAATTAGTAATTTCATGCAATAGAAATTTAAATTATATTTATTTGGCAATCAGCTAAATATTGTTTAAATAAATAAAATAACTCAGCCAATCTTTTTTATTCAAAGGATGAAAAGGTGGCACGAATTTTCGTCAAAGGACTTTCCGTCAACGGACTTTTCGTCAATGAATGGTTGTTTTTTTTTAATTT